TCGGACAGTAGTATTGCATAGCAGTTGGTTGTCGGGTGGGTGTAAAAAGATTTTACAAATGCACCTCATTTGACGCACAGATTTACACTCGAATTTTTTTGTCTTGGATGTTTTGTTTTTTTTTTTTTCGGTTATTTCTGTCCATGATTGGGTAGAAAAAAAACGAACTACAAATACTCCAAGATTTTTTTGACTTCATTAAAGAATAAAATCGTTTTTGTAGGATGGAAACTTTTTGAAGTCAAAACCCCCCACTCCCAAAAAAGGAAATAATTTTTTTATCAGACATCGATCTTTTGACGTCGTCCCTTACTGGTGCCATGTGGTGTGTAAATCTAACTCTTTGTATAAATTTTTGGGTTTGTGTACTTAATTAGAAAGTTCTTCCATGTTTCAAAAAACATTTATTGTTTTCTGTACAGGTCTATCACTAGAACATGTGATAATCTTATAAGACCTGATAAAAGAACATCAGATGCTGTTGATGTAAGGCAAGAATTGGATCTTCGAATTGGTAAGTTTGTGTAAACTACATTGTTGAAAGCCAGCCTTTTACAAAGATTTAAGGCTTTGATTTGACACTGAAGTAGTGCCAGATGTTGATAAGTAATTGGTCAGGCAGTTTGTTTTAAGTTTTACTGTAACAATTCCATATGGTGTAGACTATATGTCTATTTTGAGTCATTGACAGTCATAATGATTAATTCAACATATAGTGACTACCTTTGAAAGTCCATTTGTGATTTGACAAGTTTGCATAAATTAGAATCATGGGTGCAAAGCTTATGTTCAGGTACCAGTATTTTACCTACCTTCAACAGTGAGAACAAGTCTATCATGTGATTATGGCTGTGATTACATGGAACTATGGTAATTTCCCTATTACTCCCATTCATAACACAGGTTAGCAAAAATTGTATCTTTCTGGATCAAGATTTTCAATAAAAATCAAATCAAGTCAATTTACACTGGTGAAAAGGCACTGTTTGGTTGCATTTACCCGGTGAGAACACTGGTGAAAAGGCACTGTTTGGTTGCATTTACCTGGTGAGAACACTGGTGAAAAGGCACTGTTTGGTTGCATTTACCCGGTGAAAACACTGGTTAAAAGGCACCATTCTGTTGCATTTATCCAATGACAACACTGGTGAAAAGGCACTGTTTAGTTGCATTTATCCAATGAGAACACTGGTAAAAGGCACTGTTTGGTTGCATTTACTCAGTGAAAACACTGGTTAAAAGGCACCGTTCTGTTGCATTTATCCAATGAGAACACTGGTTAAAAGGCACTGTTCAGTTGCATTTATCCAATGACAACACTGGTTAAAAGACACTGTTCTGTTGCATTTATCCAATGACAACACTGGTTAAAAGGCACCGTTCTGTTGCATTTATCCAATGACAACACTGGTGAAAAGGCACTGTTTAGTTGCATTTATCCAATGAGAACACTGTTAAAAAGGCACTGTTTGGTTGCATTTACTCAGTGAGAACACTGGTTAAAAGGCACTGTTTAGTTGCATTTATCCAATGAGAACACTGGTTAAAAGGCACTGTTTGGTTGAATTTATCCAATGAGAACACTGGTAAAAAGGCACTGTCCAGTTGCATTTACTCGGTGAGAACACTGGTTAAAAGGCACTGTTCTGTTGCATTTATCCAATGACAACATTGGTTAAAAGGCACTGTTCAGTTGCATTTATCCAATGACAACACTGGTGAAAAGGCACTGTTCAGTTGCATTTATCCAATGACAACACTGGTTAAAAGGCACTGTTCTGTTGCATTTATCCAATGACAACACTGGTGAAAAGGCACTGTTCAGTTGCATTTATCCAATGAGAACACTGGTTAAAAGGCACTGTTTTGTTGCATTTATCCAATGACAACATTGGTTAAAAGGCACTGTTCAGTTGCATTTATCCAATGAGAACACTGGTTAAAAGGCACTGTTCAGTTGCATTTATCCAATGACAACACTGGTGAAAAGGCACTGTTCAGTTGCATTTATCCAATGAGAACACTGGTGAAAAGGCACTGTTCAGTTGCATTTATCCAATGAGAACACTGGTTAAAAGGCACTGTCCAGTTGCATTTATCCAATGAGAACACTGGTTAAAAGGCACTGTTCTGTTCTCATTTATCCAATGAAAACACTCGTTAAAAAGCACTGTTCAGTTGCATTTATCCAA